GAGTGCTTTGAAATGTGCTGCTTTTAAAATTTTAACCCCCTTTAAGGTGTATGTCAAAGAATTAGGCACCCTATCAGAACAGTCATTTTCTAGTTTTCAAAGTTATTGTTTTGGAGGTGAGGAGGTGGAAGAACTGAATAGAAGAGAATTGTGTGTTGAGAATCCAGCCTGCTCAATGTAAAAGAAAATTGCCATCACCTGCTTCAAAGTGGGGGTGCCTTCCTCACCCCATACCACCGGGGTCAGTTTTAAAGTTGGAGTAGATTTACCTTGAACTCTTTTGGCTGCAAAGTGATTTGAATTGACCATTGTTTTACAGGCGTGTGATTTGGTAGGCTTTCTTTAGCTAGATTTCTTTTCATCCAGGCTGCAGTATAAATAATGTTTGCTAATCAGATTGCTGTGTCTGTAAGTCACTGTCTCATAAACCAGTGTTCATTCACAGATAGATGCGTAGTCTCGGTGTCTCTCCGGACCAATACCCAAACACCTGCGAATGTCTTTGGGCTGGGTGCCCCAGGACTAAGGCCAGAGTGGGAGCTGCTTGTTTCTGGTCTGAAGCAATTAAGTGTTCAGAAACTTTTATAGCAATTTGACAGCATGAGTTTTTGTCTCTTGTATCTAACAATAGATACTTGGGGTTTTTTGTTTTGTTTTGTTTTGTTTTGGTTATTCATTTTGATTGTATCCATCTGTGATGGGTTCTTGTTGTTGTTATGTGCCATCAAGTCAGTTCCGATCCACAGCGACCCTGTACAGGGTTTCCAAGGCTGTAATCTTTACGGGAGCAGAAAGCCCCGTCTTTCTCCCACAGAACTGCTGACCTTGAGGTTAGCAACCCAACTCGTAACCACTACACTACCAGAAAGGTGCAAAAGACTAAGCATATAGATACTAACTGAAAAGTTAGCAGTTCAAACCCACCCAGAGGTGTCTTGGAAGAAAAGTCTATGGTGGGCAGTTCTACCTCTGTGTGCATGGGGTTGCAATTTGTGTGAATCAACTCAATGGCAACTGGTTTGTTGGTTTTTTGGGCTAAGTTGAGTTGTACTCAGGACAGCGTACCCAATAAGCCAGGTGATGGTGTTGTTAGATGTTGTTGAGTCGGTTTGAATTCATAGCAACTTTATGTACATCAGAACAAAACAATGCCTGGTCCTGCACCATCTTCACCATCATTGCGATGCTTGAGTCCATTGCTGCTGCCACTGTGCCAGTCCATCTCTTTGTTGCCGACCCTCCACTTTACCAAGCATTGTGTCCTTCTCCAGGGACTGGCCCCTGACTTTATTTGTACTCACTTACTGATCTGTTGTGAACAGTTTCACATGGGGCAGGATAATGCACTTGATCAAAAGGTTGGTTTGAACTACAACCCAGCCTGTGCAGGGTCACTATGAATCAGAACGGACTCGACAGCAACCACAATCTTCACATTAAAAAAATATATTTTTTTATGTGGTGAAGCCCATCTGAAAATTTTCATGACAGATTAGTAAGTTGTTGTTGTTAGGTGCTATCAAGTTGGTACCTACTCATAGTGACCCTATGCACAACAGAATGAAACACTGCCCGGTCCTGGGCCAACCTCACAATTGTTGCTATGCTTGATATCCCTCTCCAGCGACTGGTCCCTCCTGACAGTATGTCCCAAGTATGAGAGATGAATTTTGGCCATCCTGACCTCCAAGGAGCATTCCGGTTGTGCTTCTTCCAACACAGATCTGTTGGTTCTTTGGGCAGCCCATGGCACTATCAGTATTTTCCTTCAACACCATAACTCAAAAGCATCAATTCTTTCTACGGTCTTCCTTATTCACTGTCCAGCTTTCACATGCATATGAGATTATTGAAAACACCATGGCTTGGGTCAGGCACACCTTAGTCCTCAGGCTGACATATTTTTGTTTTTCAACACTTTAAAAAGGTCTTGTGCAGCAGATTTGCCCAATGCAATACATCGTTTGATTTCTTGACTGCTGCTTCCGCGAGTGTTGATAGTTGATGCAAGACGAATGAAGTCCTTGACAGCTTCAATCTTTTCTCCATTGATAAGAATGTTGTTTATTGGTCCAGTGGTGAGGATTTTTGTTTTCTTTACATTGTGATGCAATCCATACCAAAGACTGTGGTCTTTGATTAGCAAGTAGGCACCCATGTTCACCTTCTTGGGTACTCCATTCCTGTCAGGGATTGCAAATTTGGAAAGGTGCTGTGAGTTTGGTACAGAGACAGATGCCATATCTGAGAGCAGAGTCTTCGATGTGGTGAAAAAATGTAAAACTGTTCACTACAGTGGTAAGTCTTGTGTATTAGTAAGTAAATAAGCCTGTGCTTAGCTTGTTGTAGTTAGTGCTGTCAAGTTGGTTCCAACTCAGACCCTGTATAGGGTTTCCAAGGAGCAGCAGGTGGGTTTGAACTGCCGACCTTGTGGTTTGCAGTGCAGTGCTGATCCTACAGCGTCCCCAGGTAATCTGACCCTGGAGTGGCTTGGCTACTGCATTACATTGGTCAGTGAGTGTCATGTTGTTTCCACCAAACTAAGGAGCTCAAGCCAATCATTATTGGTTAAAAATATGAGAGAGTTGGAGAATTTTCTTTTTCTTTAGTTTTCAGTGTTGCTCTTACAACAATGTTTTTTTTCCTAGCATCTTCCCTGCTGTCTCGCAGAAAGCTCCTGCCCAGGTGAATTTTGCAGTGTCTCCTCCAGAAGGGGGAGGGGTGCTGCTATTTGCATGGTTCTGTAGAGGGGCTGCCTTGGGAAGATCACCTTTAGCCTGGAGAGTGGGTGCTGGGCACTCCACAGCCCAGCTCTGGGCTCATCGTCCAGGTCCTGCCTGCGACCTGCCTCCATCATTTAGGATTCTGCTTGCTGTTAGGGAGAGGATCTGTGGCAGACGTCTGGGAAATGCCCTGGAGTTTGTGGCCACATGCGCTGAGGAGGAAAGCTGCGGTGTAGAGGGCGGAACCAGCAAACTGAGAATCAGGAGTCAAATCATCTCCCAGTGTCTCCCTGCAGACATCAGGGCCTGGCTACAGACTCCCCTGGAAACTTTGTGTTGTGATGGGGAAGAGGAGAGGGAGGGAAGGGTTGTCTTTGCCCACGCCTTTGCTACCTTCCGCAGGCACGATCTGTCCCCTTTGCCTGCTGTAAGTTTTTCTGTAGCATTTATCATTTGTATCCTCAAATCACTACCAAACCTACCACCATCGAGTATTCCGACTCATAGCAACCCTGCACGACAGGGGAGGACTGCTCCTGAGGGCTTCTGAGACGATAAATCTTTACAGAGCAGTCAGTCTCTTCCTTCTCTCTCAGAGTAACTGGTGAGTTTGAACCACCAGCCCTGTGGTTAGCAATCCAACGCTTATCCCACTTTGCCCCCATTGATTTGATTGTCTGTTCCCATTCCCACTATCATGGGAGTCTTGTTTGTCTTGTTCACTGTTGTATCTCCAGAGCCTTGGTGGTGCCGTTGAGCTGATACTGACTCATAGCGACCCCATGCACAACAGAGTGGAACACTGGGCCATCCTCATAGTCGTTGGTAAACTTGAGTCTAGTGCTCCCATGTACAATAGAGTGGAACACTGGACCATCCTCACAGTCATTGGTAAGCTTGAGTCCAGTGCTCCCATTACAACAGAGTGGAACACTGGGCCATCCTCACAGTCATTGGTAAGCTCGAGTCCAGTGCTGCTGCCATTGTGCCAGTCCATCTTGTTGAGGGTCATCGTCTTTCTGTTGACCCTCCACTTTACCAAGCACGATGTCCTTCTTCAGGGACTGTTCCCTCCTGATAATATGTCCAAAGTATGAGAGATCAAGCCTCCCTATCCTGTCTTCCAAGGAGCATTCTGGTTGTATTTCTTCCAACACAGATCTGTTTGTTCTTCTAGCAGTCCATGGGACTTTGGACAGTCTTCTCTAACACCATAACTCAAATGCATCAATTCTTCTACAGTCTTCCTTATTCATTGTCCAACTTTCACCTGCAGAGCCTGGCATATGGCTGAGTGGTACCCACTCAGCCCCTGACTCAAGGCAATTCCACGCACGATGGATTGAAATACTGTCCGGTCCTGTGTCATCCCCGTATTAAGTTTCTGATCAGACTGTTGTGGTCTCTGGGGATTTTTTTTAGACGGTCACCAGGTCTTTTCTTCCTAGTCTTAGTTTGGAAGCTATCCTGAAACAGGTTCGGCATCATAAAAACCCAAAACCAAACCAACTGTCATCGAATCAATTCCAACTCTGAGGCTGTAAATCTTTATGTGAGCAGCAAGTCTCCTTTTTCTCTTGTGGAACAGGTGGTGGATTTGAACTGCTGACTTTGTGGCTAGCAGCTCAATACCTAACCCACTATGTCACTGAGCTCCTTGCAAACCTCTGCTGAGAGGTGCCACACCAGAGGTACATTGACCAGGACCGAAATCCGGGCATGTAAGGAAATGAGAACGTGGAGACCTAGTCCAGCAGATTGTTGGATTGTTGTCTTTGGATTGATACACATCTCTGATCTCTTCTTCAGCAGTCTTCTAGAATTGTGATCAAAATTCAAGATACTGAGGTAGAAAAGAAAAGTTTATAAGGCAAGGTGCCTTCGTGGGGGGGACCCAAAACAAGAATCTGAAGCTTTCTTTGTATCATTGGCCCAACTTTTAGAATTGAACTCTGTGTCCACTTTTCAGGATTTTTAGTGGTGAGCCCTTAAAAAGCCAACTCCATCTGATTCCTCCATTACTTGTCCAAGTGCCCTCTGTGGGTCGTTCCAGAAACAAAGCTCCCCCAATGGAGGTTCCTGGCCAACTTCATTTTCCTCCATGCCATTGTGGTGACATTACTTGTATCCTTGCTGTGGTGGCAATTCATATATGCATATTTATGTTAATGGTTTTTGTGTGGCTCAGCTGGGCTTGGATGCCGGCCTCACTGAGCCCAATACAACCTCGCATTTACGCGTTTCTGATTGTATTTCATAATGTTTTGATATTTCCAGGCTAATCTTGCACAACTATTGAGAGATACTCAAGACCGGAATAAACATCTGGGAGAAGAACTTAAAGAACTTCAGCAGAGGCTGGGAGAAGTCCAGGGTGACAATAAGGTGCTGTGACTATTGCAAGGGAAAAGGCTCACTGCGTAATTGTGCGCCAGAGGTTTATGTTTAACACATGTGAAAAAAGAACGAAAGAAAGAAAAAAAAAATAATAATGTAGCATCTTGTTGAACAATTTGTTATAGATTTTTACATTTGCAATGAAAATTCACATTTTAGCATTTCTCATCTTTATGACATGCCTCTGTGTGTTGTGCGTACCTGTGTATACTTGTATGTTTTTGGGCTTCTCTATAATATTGTCACAGCCCATTGTAGACATTTCATTATGTTTAGGTTGGTGGTGAATAACATTGTGGTTGAGGGCAAAATAAAACCCAAATGCTGTACTGCCCCTTCTATACAAATAATGGATTTATGGCTCAGATGATTTGGAATTATTCACACTCGGTTTTGAATTTTAAGTAGTCTACTAATTATGGTCACATAACCAATTTATTTTATTGCTAAATTTGGCAGTTTGTATGGAACATTGCTCAAAATCCACTGCTTGGTATTAATGAAACCCCTCCCTGTTGGCAACGTTAATTATAAAATATGAACTCATAAACTCCAAACTGAATGTATGTACTCTCATGCCCATTTGAAACAGTGAACAGAAGTACAACGGAAAAAGGGAAGAAAGACTGCACAAGTTTAATCGGTCCCCCAGAATCATTTCCCGCTCTGCCAAGCTTGATTCCTTTTCAGTTCCTGGCCGGAGACGAGTTTTGCAATGGAGATGGTGTTAGAACTTGACTCCAGAAAAGTCTATGAAATAGAAGAAGACTCATTGAGGAAAAAGCCTTTCAGATGTTGACAAATATTGGTGGACTTTTCTGTTGCTGGGAAGGTTATTGATATTAGAAGGAAGCACACTGGTGGCTGGGTTACCCAGGGAATGCTTCGAGAACAAAGCAGCAGCCAGGGGCCCTGTGGATAGTACTGACCGGACAGGCCAGATCTCAGGACATATGCTAATTGTCAGTGGGCCAAACTCAACTCATAGTGGCCCCAGATGTGTCAGAGTAGAACTCTGTCCCACAGGGTTCTCAGTGGCTGGTTGTTGGGAATTAGATTGCCATGCCTTTCTTTCGAGGCACTTTTGGGTAGTCTTGAAACTCCAACCTTTCCATTAACAGCTGCTGCATTCACCCATTACAGTACCCAGAGGCTCCCCTAAGAACCCTCTTCTCTTTTCTCCTTTTCTGCATTTAAACATTTACAAAATTCTCTTGAATTTAATGTAGAATTGAAAAGCTAGGCTCTACTGCTCTCTATCATGAAACAGGGTGGAGAGAATGCCCAGGAAAGGGTCTAATTAACTCTGGACAAGCTAATCAGGCCTCTGGGGGTGGTTGGATGCGTCAGGGAAGAAGATTTAACTCTGGTAACCTAGGTGTCTGGCCAGTAATTAAAGGCCAGACCTTCTGAGTCACTTCCCCAAGAGATAACAGCAGGGCTTTCTGGAGAAACAAATAAAATGGGTGCAGCAGGTATCTTTAAACCCACAAAGCACTGGAGAATTTTGGAGCTATTGCAAAGGAACTCCAATGGAAGAGATTTTGACTATATGATTTTGGGAAGCATGGTTCAATGATCTTTCTGTTTTCTCTCTATTTTATTTCCTCTTTACCCTTGAGTTACCCTCCTTTTCCCTCCTGTCGAGTTTCCTAAATATACTTCCACCTCACCTTTCGACCGTTGTCCATTATGTCGCCTCTTTGGGTCTTTGGGATTTGTTGGTGGTGGTTGCTGCTCAGTTTACTCACTGTGATCTTACGGATAACAGAGCAAAATGCTGTCTGTTTCTGAACCAGTTCCGTGAGCTTTGAGATCTTTGAGCCCATCCTGTGGTTGCTGCCGTGTGTTATCAAGTCAGTTCTAACTCAGAGTGACCTACAAGGCAGAGTAGAACTGCCCCAGAGGGTTTCTGAGGATTGCCACAGCTTTGTTCCGAGGAGCAGTTGTAAGCTCGGACCACAGACTTCTTGGTTAGCAGTTGAGCATATAAGCATGGGTCTCCAGGGCTCCTTCAATCTGTTGGAGGTGTGAGAGATTTTAGGAACTGATACTGTAACCAGTAAGGAGCTCTGGTAGTGTAGTGGTTACAAAGTGGGCTGCGAACTGCAAGGTCAGCAGTTCGAAACTACCAGCTGCTCCGCAGGAGAAAGATGAGGCTTTCTGCTCCCGTAAAGATTTACAGCCTCGGAAACCCTGTATAGGGTCGCTATGAGTCGGAACCGACTCCACGGCACAGAACAACAACTGTAACCAGTAATTCAACAAAAAAAGGAAGGGCATATGTGTGCATGTATTTGTGTGTATGTGTGTGCCTTATATGTGTGAACGAGTCTATTTGTGTGTAGGTTGTGTTTTGTGTATGGATGGGTTATATGCGTGTGTTGTGTACAGGTGTATGTGCGTGATCTGTGCTTTGTGTATGGGTGTGAGTGTGTTTTGTGTATAGGTGTGTATGTGTTTAGTCTCTGTGTGTATATGTGCCTATATGGTGTGTAGTGTGTGTTTTGTATATGAGTGTGTGCATATGTGGGTAGTGTTGATTTATGTATGGGTGTGTGTGTTCTATGTGTGTTTGTGCATGCTTTGTATGGGTGTATGGGTGTGCATAGGCATGTAGTCTGTGTTTTGGGTATGGCTCTGCGCATGTGTATGGTTTTGAACACTAAGCACAGGTTGGGTACATGTCCTGTTTGCATTGTTACAGTCTGAATTTCCTGCTTGTCTTTGGCTCTGGGTCTTTATTCCCCATTGCTAGAGCAAGCTTAGTTTTCTCACCCAGCATTGAGAATTTAGAATCTAGTGATTTATATTCATGGTCCTTAACTCATATTCAGGAGTCCTGGTGTGGCGCTTCCAGATAATGCGCTGGACCGTAAGGTTAGAGGTTCAAACTTACCAGCTGCTCCTCAGAAACCCAGGGTCACTATGGGTCTGAACCTATTAGACAACACTTAACAACAACATTCATTGTCTGGGGAGCAGTTTGCCTGTCAAAAGGTGCAGGGAGGATGTGCCAGTGTTCATCAGACCCTGGACCAAAGGCTCCAGCCTCCACCTCTCCCAAACTGCGCAAAGCCCCAGAGGTCCTCTTGTCCTCATTTGCATCTCAAGTAATGGGGTTGATTTATTTTCAGCCCTCTGTGAGTCATGGCCATCCTTCCCCCTCCCCCTGCCACCCCAGTCCTCAACACTGAGGTCAGATCGCTCCTTTAATAACTACACCAGGTGCCTTGACTTACTTATTTCTAACTTTTCTTGTGAAGTGAGTGAAAGTCTACAGACAAGATCATCAGTTTTACATCAGCAGCTCCTACACTTTGTTTGGACTCAGTGATCACAAACCCCTCCCTGCAACAGCTGTCCCACCTCTTCCCTGTGCTTTCTAGTTCATTCCACCCTCCTTCCCATCCCTTCTCAGCTTTGACCCTAGGTAAACACATGTTGCCCTTTTTGATCTTGAATAATTGATCATTCCATGGTGAATATACCTTACTAGTGTTGTTCTCTTCCCTAACTAGCTATCTGCATGTTGTTGTTAAGTGCCATCAAGGTGGTTATGACCCATAGTGACATGTATTTGGTTTCCAAGGAGCAGTTGGTGAGCTTGACTCCCTGACCTGTGGTTCAAACTGACTTTGCAGTCCAACTCATTAACCCACAGTGCTGCTGGCTGAAGATTGGGCTTCCAGGTGCCTTTAGGTCCCCATTGGGCTGTGCAGTGGGGACGGGTTAACCTTTTGCTTCTTTGATTTTAGCACATCACCGGCTGCTCTGACCCTTCATCCTCCTCCTCCAACTCTGGTTCTGCCTCCTTGCCATAGTGTGCTGGGCCCTCATTTCTCTAGCCACAAGTCACCTCATAATCCATCCCTACTGTTTTCATTCCAGTCCCTTTGCTGCTGTCTACTCCGTTGTATCTCAGGGCCTTTGCACATGCCAGCTCCTCTCTCTGCCACATTCTTTTCTTTGATTTCCCTTGCCCACTCCTTCTCATCTTTCAGGTCAGTTGTTACTGTCTTCGTTTCCTAGTGCTACTGTAGCGGAAATAGCAGATGGCATTCTTTGGTTCTTGGCAATCCTTATAGGGCATTGCTCTTCCATAAGTAAGTCTGTGCTTACTTCTGTGTCGAATCTCTTCTATGGATCGTTCTAGGAGCAGAAAGTCTCTGTATCTAAAGAGCTCTGGGAGCTTAGTGGGTTATGAGTTGAGCAGCTAACCACGGGGTCAGCAATTTGAACCTAGCAGTCACTCTGTGGGAGAAAGACGGGGAGCACTGCGCCTGAAAAGATTTCTCACTTCAGAAACCCCGCACAGGTTTGCTGTGAGTCAGGACAAATTCCACAGCATACCACCATCACTATATGTACATATGTATATTTATGTATATATATAAGGAGCTCTGGTAGCGTAGTGGTTACGAATCAGGCTGCGAACCTTAAGGTCAGCAGTTTGAAACTACCAGCTGCTCTGCGGGAGAAAGATAAGGCTTTCTACTCCTGTAAAGATTTACACTCTTGGACACCCTGTACAGGGTCGCTATGGGTCGGAACCGACTCAATGGCACTTAACAACAACAATATATATGGCTGGTGGTGGTGTTGGCTGTGTGCCATGGAGTCGGTTCCAACTCATAATGACACTGTGCAGGGTTTCTGAGGCTGTAAATCTTTACGGGAGCAGAAAGCCTCATCTTTCTCCCATGGAACAGCTGGTAGTTTCGAACTGCTGACCACGGTTCACAGCCTGATTCGTAACCACTATGCTATCAGAGTTCCTTATACATACACACACACACACACACACACACACACACACAAATGTGTGTGTATGTTGTTGTTAAGAGATTTGGAGTCCATTTTGGCTTACAGCGACCCTATATAGGGTTTCCAAGACTTTAAAAGCTTTTGCGGGAACAGAAAGCCTTGTCTATTTTTGTGGAGTGGTGGGTGATCTCGAACATCCCACTTGGTGGTTCACAGTTTAG